CTGGGAGGCAGAGGTTGCAGTGAGCCGAGATTGTGCCACTGTACTCCAACCTGGCCAGACTTCATTTCAAAAAAAAGAAACAAAAGAAAATATCTGAAACCGAAAATAAAGGTAGAGTAGTACAAGGATGTTATTTAGAAATAAAGAAATAAATATTAGAAGAAACAGCCAAAGGATTTAATGAGTGCTTTGGGGAAACAGAAATCAAGAGTGAGTATTTCTGCAATTTTTCTTTAGAAGATTGGAAATACTGTTTGATTTATTAAAGTATGTACATGCATTAATTTGATAAAAATTAAATGAAAAGGAATATCACTGCTCTCCAAAGACAGACAGGTAGGGTGGATTTGTGAAACGATCCTCAGGAAACCACAATTTAGACAAATTCACCAGTATTGAATACTTTAGAAACTACCATTCAAGCTGCTCAGAAATTATCTGAGAATTCCCCAGAAATACGTGAAATAGCTTTTGGACTGGCTTTTCACATGTAGCTTTGCCCAGAGAAAACTAACAGTTCTTTCAGTAGAGAGCATTTTATCTAATGATGGCTTTCTGAGATAGGCTTCCAAGTGAAAGAATGCTGTGTGAACACTACATACTTACTAAGTGTTGAGTGAATGAAACCTGAAACAAAACATCTCAGCATCCTTAGGGCATAAAAGACACTATGTAGGTATAGCACGGGGCAATTCTATGTCTAGCTGAAGGCACATGGTTCTTTCTAAGACTGTATTTGTATAACTACCATATATTTTTACTTCTTGCTTCTTAAGCAGTTTTAAAAATCAGTGTTACCATCTTTTAGATATAGATCAAAGGGGTAAGGCAGTAAGTGCTGGAACTCAGCCTGTCCCCCTGCCACCGACACTGAATTTGTTAATAGTAGTTCTGACAGGGACTTGTGCAAAACCAAACAGATGTTGTGTAATAACTTAAAAGGAAATTAGTATGCTATTAAGTAGAAAGCAGGCTATTACCAACTGGACTAACAGAAGTAAACCAAAATACATATGATCTTCCAGTGCAGGGAACAAGCCTCTACTTAGTGTGATTTATTTCGAACAATCTCAGTAGGCCCTTTGTGAGGCAAGCAAGGTGGAAAATTTGTCATATGCACTGTAGACAAGTCATAAACAATGCATCCACCAACACTGTTGTAACAGAAAGCTGTTTCAGTCAACACTTCCACTTTTTCCTTTAAGTATAAAATTTGAAGGAGATAACTTACTTAAAGTGGGTGCCAGTGGCTAAATGGTAATTTGTGGTTAACAAGAGCTGAAGGCCCCAGGTCCCCTAGTCAGCCCCTGCTTGAGATAGCTACCTGTTTTCTAGATGATAGCTGGAAATGTTAAGTGGATTATTGATGTTAAATAGTTTGACTTCTTGTGTATACCTTATGTTATAAGATAGTTTAAGTTTGCATAAGGTAGCATAAAATGTTGAGTAGAATTTTAACTCACATGTAAGGAAAGCAGGTTTTGCATACTTCACCCAATTTTCTCTATTGTGGCCTTTTGTATTTTACTTGTATTGGTAGCTTAACAAGATAAGATGAAATCAGCATTTGGGAATAGTGTGCAAAAAATTGTGTATTATTTGAAATGCAGCTATTCTACATATTTCAGCCCTTGCCAGTGTGCTAGTATGAATGCTGGTTTACAGCCTTTTTAATAAAAATTAATACAAGGTAACCAAGTCCTTTTGTGTCTTTGTACAGGCAACTCTTTATACAGTGAAACAGGAGGAAAGAAAAATGCAGCAATAAAGATAAATAAGGTTTGTTGACACCAAGAAAAATCTTTTTCTTAGATAATAACAGGTTATTTAGCCCATAAATAACCAGTGCTTCGGGTGTATCAAAATATTTAAGTATAACTGTTATTTACCTATTAGAGATATTTTTATTTGTTGTTTCACTAATTACTTTTTACTTTTCTAGCCTCAGAGATCAAATTGGAGTACAAATCAGTGCTTCAGAAATTTTTTCTCCAATATGTTTTCTTCTATTAGTCACCCTGGAGAATCTTCCTTTACCTATAGAGCTTATTGGTTAGTATTTTCTACTTTTAATTTATGCTGCTTATACTTGATGTTTAATGATTATAATTAACTTTTGCTAGAAATTTAAACTCTGGGCCCAATAAAAACTGAAAGGCCCACCTTGGTTTGTTGTTGTTGCTTTTTGGTTTTTTTTTTTTTTTTTTTTGGAAAGTAAACTAGCTCTATGCAAGAGAAAACCTGTTAATTTTGGGAGCTTCTCTGTTGTGCAATGATTATGCCAGTACTCTTTGTTTTCATTAATAAGTAGTTGTATATAAGCTTTCTATATGCTAAAGAAGCAGGTTATTTATTAAATTGCGGGAACGGTACCTCAAGCAGAATGCTTCTAGAGCTGATCCACTCATGTTGAATCCTAGTGACTGGCATGTAGATACTAAGTAGATATTTATGGAATTTGAAGATTAAATTGAAGCTTTAAAATCATGTACAGTTAGTTGAGCCAGCCACACAGAATAAGATTGTTTGATTTAATTTTAGAGCTTGGCAAGGTAACAAAAAAATAATTATATCTGAGGAGGCTTTTGAAAAGCTGTACTATACCCATTTTTGGTTGCAGTAATCATACCCTCCTTTATTTTCTTCTTTTGTTTTAGGCTTAGTTTCAACTGGGAAACAATTGCATCTAGAATTTTTTTCTATCAATAATGAGGATATTAGTCTGACTTGACTTTATTAAAAAAAATCTGTCAATATGGAAATTCAAGGGTTATTTTTAATAATCAAATACAATTTTGATTTGCAGTACACCAATTTTACTTATCTTAGGACTGAGTTTATTTTAAAAGTGTTTAAATAGAAAAAAGCTCTCATTCTTGTACGTGTGATTCATAATGCTAGGTACAAAAACAGCTGCTTTTTTTTTGTATGATCTAATTGTTTCTTTGAACCTAAAATTGTGAGATTCTGATGAATGTCTAAAATTTGTCTTTTAGTACAGAATTTCTAGAAGTCAGTGAAATCAGTGCATTGATTAGGCAGAAGAGACAGGATCTGGAATTGTCATGGTTTCCTGATACATTACCTGGTATTGGAAGGTAAAAATAAACAAATTATTTACTCTAGTGTTTACATGCTTACATGAACAAGATAGCATTAGTACTAAACAGGGGTACCTTACTCAATTGTTATTTTCCTAAGGAAGTTTTGTGCAAATTAAACTTTGGTGTTTCAAATGCCCAACAAAGATTGCTATATAAAGGACCCCTTAGAAAGTAAATAATTCTTAATTTATCTGTTTAACAAGTATAGCTATGTGTATGCTAGATTTATTAAACTATTTGATCAAGTGCCACTCTGACACTCATGACTTTCTGTAATCTAGTTTTTTCTTTCTTAGTTTAGTTCTGAAGCTACTAAGATGGTGGCTAGATATGTAATACATATTTAAATGAAGCTCCTAAGTAAAGATTAGGCTCACTGCCTGAGTTTTATATTAATTCCTGTAACATGTTATGACTTTATTTTATATGTCACTATATAGTCCTGTATAGGGCATTCACCCTCTAGGAATGATGGCAGAACATAATAGAAGTCAAATGAAGAAGTCCTGATGTATGTCCTATGAAACCCTTCTTTACAGTTACATATTTCTATACATGTACATGTTACATGTTTTTTTCCATGCTTCTCTTCTATTCCAGAATCTCACCTTATACTGAATCAGATAGTCTTTTGTTAGCAGATCTAAATGAATAAGAAAAAAAAAATGCTGAGAAGTGGTTTGGGTTTCAGTGCAGAAAATTTGAGGCGGAGGGGTCTTGACAGGTCTCTAGGGGACACTGAGACCTTTAAAGAGCCATCCCCAGGTCAAGGAATTTTAGAATATAACATAATGGTATAAATCAGTTCCTTGGTTCCCTGGAAAGGAGGGAGAAGAATACAAAGGAGTGTGAGGACACTTTCTGGAGGGACAGAAATATTTTATTTCTTGATTGGAGTGGCGTTTACACAGACATATACATATGCACACAGTTTGGTCAAAAGTTAGAAAATATACGCTTAAAATCTGTGCATTTTATGTTGAATTATACCTCAAAGTTGATTTTTTTTAGAGGAGTGAAGAATATGATGAAAGCTAGAAAAATTCTTGACAAAATACTACATAAATTATTTCAAAGAGAACTGTCTAAGTTTCTTTCATCTTTTCTTTGCCATGAGTTTATCAGAAAAACGTATTTTTAAAGGTTTTTTATTCTGAGTTGCAGCCAATTGGTAGCTATTTTTAGACAAGGAGTAACCTTGAATTTACATTGTTAGTTATTTGGACAAAAAATGTTTAAGCACTGTATTTTAATATTGCTAACCTGATTTAGAGAATTAATACTTTTAAATTGCTGGTTTAATTTTTTAAACCATTTAAACAAAAATGTCTTTATTATGTTTTCAGAATTGGTTTTATACCCTGGAATGTTGAAACAGAAGTCCTTCCTCTCATTTCTTCTGTGTTGCCAAGAACTATTTTTCCAACGAGTACCATATCTTTAGAAAATTTTGGTAAAGTTTGTGAAATCATTTTCTATTTTAAAAATTATTATTAGTTTCTTCAAGTTTCATAAAAATGTGTGTTTGATTACATACAAAAGCTGTGAAATAAGGTATAGTAACTTGTAAACTTCTATAAATATTTGGACAGTGACTTAACTTTAAAATTGCTTTGGCTGGGCGCAGTGGGTCAGGCCTGTAATCCCACCGCTTTGGAAGGCCGAGGTGGATGGATCACAAGGTCAAGAGATTGAGACCATCCTGCCCAACATGGTGAAACCCCATCTCTACTAAAAAATACAGAAATTAGCTGGGCGTGGTGGCATGCGCCTGTAGTCCCAGCTACTCGGGAGGCTGAGGCAGGAGAATTGTTTGAACCCGGGAGGCAGGGGTTGCAGTGAGTCGAGATCACGCCACTGCACTCCAGCCTGGCGCATGGTGACAGAGCAACACTCTGTCTCAAAAAAAAACAAAATGCTTCAACTAGAGTATATATATACAATGGAATATTTTTCTGCCACACACACAAAAAAGGAAATCCTGTTGTTTGTGACAACATGGATCAATCTGGAGGGCATTATGCTGGGTGAATAAGGAAGGCACAGTAAGACAAATACCACATGATCTCACTTCTGTGTGGAATTGAAAAAAGTTGATCTCATAGAACTAGACTGTAGACTAGGGGGTGGTGTAGTTGTGAGGTGGAGGTTGTTTGTCAAAGGATACAAAATTTCAGCTAGTAGAATAAGCTCTAAAGATCTATGTATAATGTGATGACTATAATAATACAGTTGACCCTTTAACAACACAGGTTTTAACTGTGTGGAGACATTCATATGTGAATTTTGAAAAATAAATATATTGAATTTTTTTGGAGATTTGCAACACTGAAAAAAAAAAACTCACAAATTGCATAGCCTATAGTGAAAAATTAAAAGTATGTCATTAATGCATAAAATATATGTAGGTACTAATCTATTTTATCATTTACTACCATAAAATATATACAAATCTATGATAAAAAGTTAAAATTTATCAAAACATATACACACTCAGACTACATGGTGCCACCATTTGAAGTCATGAGAAATGTAAACAACTATAAAGATACAGTATTAAATCATAACTGTGTAACATTAACTATAGCACATATTTACCACTGTAATAATTTTGTGGCCACCTCCTGTTGCTATTCTGGTGAACTCAAGTGTTGTGAATATCTGGGAGGTCGAGTGAGCCGTGATTGCACCACTGCACTCTAGCCTTTGCAACACAATAAGAGCCTGTCTCAAAAGAAAAAAAAAAAACACCTGGCTGGGCGTGGTGGCTCACACACCTGTAATCCCGGTACTTTGGGAGGCTGAGGCGGATAGATCACGAGGTCAGGAGTTCAAGACCAGCCTGGCCAAGATGGTGAAACCCTGCCTCTACTAAAAACACAAAAAAATTAACCAGATGTAGTGGTACGCGCCTATAGTACCAGCTACTTGGTAGGCTGAGGTTGCAGTGAGCTGAGATTGCGCCACAGCACTCCAGCCTGGGTGACAGAGTGAGACTACATCTAAAAAAAAAAAAAAAAAACAAAAAGAAAAAACACAAAACGTGGTGTAATGTAGTCATCTCCACGTAAGCGTTTGTCTTTCTAATAGATTGCATATGACAGTGAAATGTGATCTCTTGCAGTGCTTGCATATTTTTCAAAGTGTTTAGTGCTCAATACTGTAAACCTTGAGTAACACCTTGGGGACCCACATAAAGTGCCATTAGTGATGTAGGAAGTGCTCCCAAGAGGCACAGAAAAGTCATGGCATTATAAGAAGTTGTTTAATTCCTTGATAGGAACTTTAGATTGAGATCTATAGCTGCTGTTGCCTGCCATTTCAGACAGATGATTCGTCTTGCAAACGAATGATATAAGCTTATGGTATTGGTAAATACAGTACAGCACTGTAATGTATTTTCTGTTATGACTTTGGTAACAACCTCTTCTTTAGCTTATTGTAAGAATACAGTATGTAACATATATAACATTAAAAATATGTTAATTCACTGTTATCAGTAAGAAGTCTGGTGAAAATTTAAGTTTGGGGGAGTAAAAACTATGTCAATTTTTGGCTGTGTGGGGGGTTGGTGCTCCTAATCCCTGTGTTGTTAAAAGTTCAACTATATTGTATTGTTGAAAATTGCAAGAGAGTGGGTATAAACTGTTCTCACTAAATTATAACTATGTGAGGTGTAGTGCATTTATTAAGTAGCTAGATTTAGTCATTCCACAATGTATATGTACTTCAAAGCATCATGTTGTACATAGTGAACACATAAAGTTTTATCTGTCAGTTTTAAAATTAAAAAATATTCTAACTAGAAACTCTGTGCTACAGTTTTTAGAAATTACAATTTGGAGGCTTTGAAGAACTGATTACAAGTCTCCTTTCTGTTTTGGGCTTTCCTGTCCAAACCATAGATCTTTAGAAGTAACATCTGTTAATTATTAATAAATAGTTTGAGTCTTTGTTAATTCATGGATAATTTGACAGTTTTCTCTCACCTTTTGCCTAGATAATACCAGTTCATGGCCAGGCGCAATAGCTCACGCCTGTATGCCCAGCACTTTGGGAGGCCAAGGCAGGCAGATCACTTAAACTCAGAAGTTTGAGACCAGCTTGGGCAACATGGCGAAACCCTGTTGTATTAAAAATACAAAAATTACCTGGGCATGGTAGTGCATGCCTGTAGTCCCAGCTATTCGGGATGCTAAGGTGGGAGGATCACTTGAGCCTGGAAGGTTGAGGCGGCAGTGAGCCATGATCACTCCAGTGATCACACCATTGCACTCTAGCCTGGGTGACAGAGTGAGACCCTGTCTCAAAAAAAAAAATCATTAAGCAGGTAGCAGTTATAAGACCAAATATTATTTTCCTTTTTTCCCCTATAAAATTGCCCACTTGAACCAAATCTAGTTGTTACTTATTTCAGTGTCATTAAGAAAGATGATGAATACCTCACACTACTCTGATGTTAGTAGCTGTGCATTTATTAATAGTTTTAAGTATTTTGCTTCACTCTGTCGCAGAGTATTTTATGCTAAAATTAGCTGAAGCCAAATTACTGTTTCTTAAAACACATATTTTTTACTTTTTTTAAAAAAAAAATATTATTAGGTACTTCTTGCAAGGGATATGCATTAGCACATACTCAAGAAGGGGAAGAAAAGAAGCAAACTTCTGGTACATCAAATACCAGAGGATCAAGACGAAAACCTGCAATGACAACTCCTACAAGGAGGTCTACACGTAACACAAGAGCTGAAACAGTCAGTCAGTCTCAGAGATCCCCAATATCAAATAATTCTGGGTGTGATGCCCCAGGTAACAGTAATCCATCTTTAAGTGTTCCTTCTTCAGCTGAGTCAGAAAAGCAAACAAGACAGGCTCCAAAACGGAAGTCTGTAAGAAGAGGAAGAAAACCAGCTTTACTGAAAAAGAAACTTCGGAGCTCTGTAGCTGCCCCTGAAAAATCATCTTCCAATGATTCAGTAGATGAAGAAACAGCAGAATCTGACACATCACCTGTGTTAGAAAAAGAGCACCAATCAGATGTAGACAGTAGTAACATTTGTACTCTGCAGACACATACAGAAAACCAGTCTAACTGTTTGAAAAGTTGCAATGAGCAAACAGAAGAAAGTGAGAAACAGACTGCAAATCATGATACAGAGGAAAGAGTAGAATCTTTATCTTCTGAGTCTTGTGCTCAAGATCCTCCTGTGCTAGTTGGTGAGGAAGGCAAATTTCAAAAACTTGAGAATACAGGTATAGAGGCTAAAGTTTTGTGTGTGGAAAGTGAGATTTCTAAAAATATTTTTGAAAAAGGAAGTGATCCATTGGAAAAGCAAGACCAGATATCTGGATTTTTAGAATCAGAGGTAAAGGCAGATGTATGTACAGTTCATCTTCCAAATGATTTTCCTACATGTTTAACATCTGAAAGCAAAGTACACCAACCTGTATCTAGTCCTGTAAGTGAGTTATCTGAGAATGTAGAGTCAGTGGTTAATAAAGAAAAAATGACAGAGAGTTCCATAGTAGAAATTACTGAACATAAAGATTCTACACTAAAAACAGAGGAGCTTATAGAGAGCCCCAAGTTAGAATCTTCTGAGGATGAAATTATACAAACAGTGGGCAGAAGATCTATTATGAGCCCAGAGGTTCAATTGCTTGAGCATGTTGAAACTGAAGATGCAGAAATAATTGCAACATGTGATACATCTGGGAATGAAGATTTCAATAATATTCAAGACTCTGAAAATAATTTATTAAAAAATAATCTTTTGAACACCAAACTGGAAAAACCTTTAGAAGAAAAGAATGAATCACTCATCGAACATCCCAGATCTACAGAGTTGCCTAAAACACACGTTAATCAGATTGAGAAGCATTTTAACGAGGACAACAATGAAATGATACCTATGGAGTGTGATTCATTTTGCGGTGACCAAAATGAATCTGAAGTTGAACCATCTGTAAATGCTGATCTTAAACAAATAAATGAAAATTCTGTGATACACAGTTCTGAAAATAATATGTCGTCTTCAGATCTTGCAGATGAAAAGGTTGAAACTATATCTCAACCATCTAAATGCCCAATAGATACTGTAGACAAAGTCAAAAAGCCTCGTACTCGAAGATCTAGATTTCATTCTCCATCTACAACTTGGTCTCCCAACAAAGACACTCCACAAGAAAAGAAGCGGCCCCAGTCTCCATCTCCCAGAAGAGAAATTAGGAAAGAAAGCAAGAAGTCTGAATCACCATCTCCTAAGAATGAGTCTGCCAGAGGCCGGAAAAAATCCCGTTCTCAGTCCCCAAAAAAGGATATTGCAAGAGAAAGGAGGCAATCTCAGTCTCAGTCTCCAAAAAGGGATAATACTAAGGAAAGCAGAAGATCTGAATCACTGTCCCCAAGAAGAGATACTTTGAGAGAGAACAAAAGATCTCAACCAAGAGAGAAAGATTCCTCCCCAGGAGAAAAATCCAGGTCCCAGAGCAGAGAAAGAGAAAGTGATAGAGATGGGCAGAGGAGAGAGAGAGAAAAGAGAACCAGAAAGTGGTCTAGGTCCAGATCTCATTCTAGGTCCCCCTCAAGATGTAGAACAAAAAGTAAGAGTTCATCATTTGGTAGAAATGACAGAGATAGTTACACTCCCCGCTGGAAGGGAAGATGGGCAAATGATGGTTGGAGATGTCCACGAGGAAATGATCGGTACAGAAAGAATGACCCAGAGAAACAGAATGAAAATACAAGAAAAGAAAAAAATGACATCCACCTAGATGCTGATGATCCAAATTCTGCTGACAAACATAGGAATGACTGTCCCAGTTGGATAACAGAAAAAATAAACTCTGGGCCTGATCCAAGAACCAGAAATCCAGAAAAGTTGAAAGAGTCTCATTGGGAAGAAAAAAGAAATGAAAATTCAGGAAATTCTTGGAATAAAAACTTTGGTTCTGGTTGGGTATCTAACCGTGGTAGAGGCAGAGGCAACCGTGGCAGAGGCACTTACAGAAATAGTTTTGCCTACACAAATCAGAATGAAAATAGGTGGCAAAATCGAAAGCCCCTCTCAGGGAATTCAAACAGTTCGGGGAGTGAATCTTTCAAGTTTGTGGAACAGCAGTCCTATAAGCGGAAAAGTGAACAAGAGTTCTCATTTGATACACCAGCAGATAGATCTGGGTGGACATCTGCATCTAGCTGGGCTGTGAGAAAGACTTTGCCAGCAGATGTACAAAACTACTACTCGCGACGAGGCAGAAATTCTTCAGGTCCACAGTCTGGATGGATGAGACAAGAGGAGGAAACATCTGGACAGGGTAATGTATTCTTTTTTGTTTATTGATACTGTTTTATTTGAAGAATTATAAATTTAATATGTTTTTAATATGAGTTGAAATGATCCTTATTTGTAGTTTTTATAATGTTAAGCTGAACCCTAGTTGTTTACAAGTCACTTTGCATTATATAAATATATATACATGTACATTTATCTACATCAGTATATTTTTAATCCTATCTCTGCTCCAAACCTTGCCAAAGACTTAAATATTTTCAGCACTGTTTGCTACAATAGAATAGTTTGGGATATTCCTATGCAGGATTCAACAACTAATTTGTTTATTTCAGATATGTGCGCTTTTAATTTTTTTGATCATTGTTCTTATAGAAATAAAATAAGCCATTGTTTTAATAATAAAGATTTATCTTTCCTTTTTTTCTTGCTAAGAACATTGCAAGAAAAAGGCTGTTGAAGATATAAAAATTGAATAATCTTACTTATAATTTAGTAACTAAGTTTTATGTGATTTTTTTTAACTAGTCAGTTTCTTGAGCTACTGATTGTTGTTATATGTTTTTGCATAAACTTATTCTTAAAAATATTTTCAGTTGAATGTTTTCTTTCATTTAGAAAGTCAGTCCACATTATTTAGAAATGACAGGATTAAATTAAACAATTGGAGATTGGTATTGGTGTATTGAGCCTCTTAATTGCTGTTTAATTTTATTGTAACCAGTGGTTCGTTGTTTCTCTGTGTAAAGAGATTTGTGACATGAGTTTTTTCACAAGCTTTTTTTCTTTTGATAGATTCTAGCCTAAAAGACCAAACAAACCAGCAAGTTGATGGTTCTCAGCTACCTATAAATATGATGCAACCACAAATGAATGTAATGCAACAACAAATGAATGCACAACACCAGCCTATGAATATCTTCCCATATCCAGTGGGTGTTCATGCTCCTTTGATGAACATCCAACGCAATCCATTTAACATTCATCCTCAGCTACCCTTGCATCTCCACACAGGAGTGCCCGTCATGCAGGTAGCCGCTCCTACCAGTGTATCTCAGGGACTACCACCACCGCCACCCCCTCCCCCACCATCCCAACAAGTCAACTACATTGCTTCACAACCAGATGGAAAGCAGTTGCAGGTATGTTTTTAGCAACTCAAGTTTAATCAATATAGCCATTGTAAACATTTAGCTGTTAAGGACAGATGTCCAAAAAAAGGCATCCTGGCCTCCAAAAACAATTGTTTATTTTAGTTATGGTAAACCTTCATAATCCCTCTTTCACTGTCCTTCTCAAAACACTCCAACTCCCAAATTAGAAAATCAATTGAATACATATTACCAAATCCAGGCTACATATATGCTGTTATTTATATCTGAACAGGATTTTATTTTCACATTGAATAACCAAATTGGAATCAAGTGGTGGATGCTTTACATTTTTCCCATTTTGCATTGTTTAACCCATATGGGGCGGTGGGAACTAGTGATTAAGCACTGTGATGAAGGTTTATTGTCTTGTTTGGAGAAACACTAGATAAAGCTGTTCATTATCCATTACCATCTGTGTTTCATTTTCATGAATTTATCATGCTAAAAAGGAGAAGTGCCTGTATGAGCCACAGAAAATTTGAATAATTTGCAAACATTGTATTGCATATAATTTTATGTCTGCCTTTCCAAAAGTTTAGAACCCTAGGCCGGGCACGGTGACTCACGCCTGTTATCCCAGCACTTTGGGAGGCCAAGTTGGGTGGATCAGTTGGGGTCAGGAGTTCGTGACCAGCCTGGCCAACATGGCAAATCCCTGTCTCTACTAAAAGTACAAAAATTAGCCAGGCATGGTGGTGTGCGCCTGTAATCCCAGCTACTTGAGGCTGAGGCAGGAGAATCACTTGACTGGGAGTGGGAGGTTGCAGTGAGCCAAGATCGTGCCACTGTATTCCAGCCTGGGTGACAGAGTAAGGCTCCGTCTCAAAAAAAAAAAAATTAGGCCAGGCACAGTGGCTCATGCCTGTAATCCCAGCACTTTGGGAGGCCAAGGTGGGCGGATAACCTGAGGTCCGGAGTTTGAGATCAGCCCAACCAACATGGAAAAACCCCATCTCTACTAAAAATACAAAATTAGCTGGGCCTTGGGGGCGCATGTGTGTAATCCCAGCTACTCGGGAGGCTGAGGCAGCAGAACCACTTGAACCCAGGAGGCGGAGGTTGCAGTGAGCTGAGATAGCGCCATTGCACTCCAGTCTGGGCAACAAGAGTGAAACTCTGTCTCAAAAAAAAAAAAAA